ATGTGTGGGGCCTCCTCTCCCAGAGGTGACAGGCCCCTCTTCTCCCTACTTCAGTCACTCTGATGGACACAAGCACAGCACAGGGAGAGCTGGGCTGGCTGCTGGATCCCCCAGAGGATGGGGTAAGTGTCAGGGGAGGGATGGCTCAAAGCTGCAGGCCAGTGGGAAATGGGTGGAGAGGTGGGTGGAGGAACGGAGAAAAGAGCAGGAAAAACTGGAAGTGTCTCCTCAGGGAGGGGGAGGGGAGGTGAGTCAGAGCCTCCTGAATGGGACATTGGGGGGGGGGGGGGACGGGTGGTCAGGCTACACCCCATGAAGAACGCCTCAGTGCCTGGCTCCTTCCGTCCCTATCCCAGTGAGGGAGGACTGAATACTTAGGAGGACTTGGCGGGTGATGGGCCCACATCCCCAGGGAGAGGATGCACCATAGTAGGGATGGTTGAGGGCTAAGAACCAAAACACCAGATGTGTCCTCAATCTGAGGTCCATCTATCCCAATAGAGTTGCACAGATAGGCTTCAGAGGGTCAGGGAACCCCATAAAAGTGTATTCTAAATTGTGTATATGGAGAGGAGAGCCAGAGTTTTCATCCAACTCTTCAAAGGGTGTTTGCCTCCCCAAAGGTAAAAGCTCCCCCACTAGAGGTCCCAGAGCCCTTGGCACCTTCTCCATGGGTTCCCCAGCCCAGGCACACCATGCGCTCCAGCTGTCTGAACCTGCTCCAAGTCCCTTCCCTCCTTGGGTCTTCCTAAGACCTAGTGAACAGAGATAGGTTCTTGTGAGTCCCAGAGAGCACCTTTCTGCCACTCAGCAGAGCCTGCCACAGAACCACGGGAGGCCGACCTTGTTGGCCTCAGCTTCCAGGAGTCTGGACTCAGGCCCTCGTCCCCTCTGGTCCTGGACCCCTTTCCCCTTCCTGTTCTGGTAGGAATGCAGCCTCTACTTCTGGGATTGGGGTCACTTGCTCTCTTTCCCTCTGGGTCCTAGGGTCCTGGCTCTACTCAGTTCTCCCACGGAGTGGCCTATAATTAGAATTAATAGACTAAACCATAATGTATCCTACAGGAGGGGCTGCTTGGAAAATCCTGGATTAGGCCAGCTGTAATAGGTGCCTCATCTCATAAACCAGATGATCACTCCACAGCGAGGCCACGGGTCCATTTGCTGGCTCCATGGGCCTTCACCCCCGGTGTGGCCCAGCCGCCCCCCACCCAAATAACTCTTCCCTAATTGAGCTGGAGTGGAAGCAAGGCCCTTTTTGCAGCTCAGGCCAAACAGCTTTGCACCAGGAGGGCAAGAAGACGGCAGCAGTCACATACTCCCCATGCCTGCCTTCTCCCCTCCCCTCCTTATCTTTTCAGCACACACACTCCCACACTCAAATTCAGGCCCCCCTGAATGTACCCATGGAGCAGCCAGCAGCCTGAGTGGTAAGTGAAAGGATTCTTGTCGCTGATCCTGGGCAGCTGGTTCTCCCCCATCTGTCACTGCTGGGACTGGGAGAGGCAAGATACAGCGGGAAACATCTGCTCCTGGCTCCAGCTGCAGCCGTGGCACTCTAGCTAATGAGCTGCACATTAACCACCTACTGCCCTCCCACCTGATCTCCACCCCAGGCCTTGCACTTGGGCTTCCCCATCAGAGCTTCTTCTTAAGAGCAGGCCCTGGGTGCCGTCATTGCCGGGACACCCTTGCCCAATCTTGGAACTCCCTAACATAAAGCAAAACTAGGTATCTCATGGATTTCTGCCCCTGCCCCACCCCACCCAGTTCTTAGTTAAATCCCAGAGCTGCGCGTAGCAATGAACACCCTTGGAAAAGGAGACATTCTGAGGGCCTCAGACTCCTCTATAAGGGGGTTGCAACCAAAATATCAATGGGATATTTTACAGAATTTGAGAGCTCCTTTCTTAAATCCATCTGGCAGAAAGAAAATATGTAAGAACGGCTGAGAATTCTTTTTTTGAAAAAGAATAAGGAAATAGAATACTTGCCCTACCAGATATCAGAACATGATGATACCTCGACTATAATTAAAACATGTTGCATTGCACAAGCATACCCAGGTCAATGGAACAGAATAGAAAACCTACATATGTGAGATTTTAGTATGTGATGACATTGGAATTGCAAATCAGTATGCAAAGTATAGACCGGACAGTAAATTGACAGCCGGATGTCCATAATTTAAAAAAGAAGAAGACAACAAGGAAGTAGAAGAAGAAGGATGTAAAGTTACATCTCCATTTCACACTATATGCAAAAATATAAATTCTAGGGAGATTCAAATCTAAACCTAAAAGCCAAACCTACGAAAATATTAGGAGAAAATATAGAAGATCTTTATAAGTTTGGGATAGGAGAGCTTCCCAAGCAAAATACACAACCCAAAATTCACAGAGGGAGAGAAGAGAGATGTTATTATATGAAATTTTTAAAAGGTACCAACATCAAAGACATCATTAGCAAATTAAGTGGCATGATGGGAAGAAAACATTTGAAACATTTCAAGCAAATGCTTAATATCTATAATGTAAAAAAAAAAAGGGGGCTCATCCAAATGAATACTCAAAAGATAAGAACAGGATATCAGGCAAAGTTTACAAACAGATAATTACATAAAGATAGAAATAGCCAGTGAACAAAACAGAAATGCACAACCTCCTTCTCAAAAAATGTAAATTAAAATGGCAAGAAGCTGTGTTTTGTCCATAAGATAGGCCAAAAGTAAAGTGATTGGGGTTTAATATCCCAGGTTTTCAAAAAATGGGGCCTCATGCATTGTTGGTGAAAGTGTAAGTTGATAAATCCTTTTTGGAGGCCATTTGACAGTGTCTTCTTTAAAAATTTATAAAACTTATCCTTTGTTATAGCAGTTCTACAGAAATCTTATAGAAATATGTACATGTTTACCTTAAAAACTAGAAACCACCTAAATGTCCAACAATATGTGAATGATTAAATAAATTATGGTACATCCATACAGTGGAATGCTATTTTATGGATTGCTAAAGAGAATTAGGTAGATCTATTTATATTCTCGTGAACATCTTTTTTTTTTTTTAAGATTTTAATTATTTATTTGAGAGAGAGATCAAGAGAGAGTACGAGTAGGGGGAGAGGCAGACTCCTCACTGAGCAAGGGGCCCCATGCAGGGCTCGATCCCAGAACCCTGAGATCATGACCTGAGCCGAAGGCAGATGCTTAACTGAGCCACCCAGGCACCCCTTGTGAACATCTTTCGAAGATTATTTATTTGTTAAAAGCAAAAAGCAGGTTACGAAATAGCACTTATGTTTTTAAAAAATTATGTTAAAAACATCCACACAAAAATATTCAAACATTTCTCTAGAGGCACTGAAAATGGTGTGGTGAGCTTTATTCCAAATTGTTCAGAGTGGCTCCCTGTGAAGGGTAGTCGGGTGAGAGGACCTTCACATTATATATGTTCTCTGACTTTTAACAAGTGCATAGAGACATAATGATCAGGAGCATAAACTCGAGCCTAGAGTGCCTGGGTGCATGCCCCAGCTCTGCCTCTTAACAACTGAGGGCATAGGGCAAGTCATTTAACCTTGCTATGACTCAGTTTCCTCATGGAAAGTGTTTACAACAGTGACTGGCCCATTAGTGCTAGCCATTATTATTAGTAAATTTAAAAATTATTTTAAGGTAAAAGCAGGTAAGGGGGGGTGGACTGCATGGTGTCCAGGAGACCACCCAGCCCTGTCCATTGTTGATTTTGATAGTGACCATAACTAGAAGGAATATCGGAGAGGGTGAGTTCCCCCTATACAGAAGAGTTCTATGCTTGTTCTTGCCCTCCAGAAGTTTAAAGGCCTCGACATTAAATGTAGTATCCTCTTCTCTGAACAAATAGGCAGAGAGGTTTTGTGAATGAGCTTTTGCCATAAAAGTCTGCTTTTTGGGGTACTTGAGAACCTGCTGATGAGAACAGGTAAAAATTGGTGCTCATACTTCAGTTGGGAGTGGAGTCATCGAAGGCACCGGGGCTTGCTGCAGATCATAAGGGGGTATTGTCTTGCCTGTCCTATATCCCAATAACTCCTGACCCTAAACATTTAACTGACTCTTCTCAGGCCCAGGGGTGGGAGGACAGCAGGACAAGTAGCTGAGCCCCGGGAGCCCTGACACCAGCTTCCCCGTCGTCAGCTTTAGAAAACCCAAGTTTGGGGAGCAGGTGATGAATTGGAGCCTGACTCGGATTTCTCTCCCGCAGTGGAGTGAGGTGCAGCAGATACTGAATGGGACGCTCCTCTACATGTACCAGGACTGCCCAGTGCAAGCGGGCGGAGACACTGACCACTGGCTGCGCTCCAACTGGATTTACCGGGGGGAGGAAGCTTCTCGGGTCCATGTGGAGTTGCAGTTCACCGTGAGGGACTGCAAGAGTTTCCCCGGGGGAGCCGGGCCTCTGGGCTGCAAGGAGACCTTCAACCTCCTCTACATGGAGAGTGACCAGGACGTGGGCATCCAGCTCCGACGGCCCTTGTTCCAGAAGGTGCTTCTCAACCCCCACCCCCGCCCCCAGCACCATTTGGTCCTAACACTGTTTCCCGCCTCACTCTTTCCCATGACCCCGCTCAGCTAAGGAAAAGACAAAGTGGCAGAAACAGAAAGAGGGTCTAGTGTCAAATAAGGACGAGAATGTGGGCCTAGAGATCAGAAGAGGTGGATTTGAGTAGAGCAGCCCCCCTCTTAGCTGCGGGGCATACCTCCCAGGACCCCCGCTGGATGCCTGCGCCCCGGGCAGTACTGAACCCCAGATGTGCTGTGTTCTTTCCTGTGTGTCCATCCCTGTGGTGAGCTTTTGTGTGTAAATCAGGCACCGTAGGAGAGTAGTAACAGTAACTAGTAATAAACCAGACCAATTATAACAGTATACTGTAATAAAGGTCATCAGACTGTAGTCTCCCTCCCTATCAGTCTCTCTCCATCTCTGTCTCTCTCTCGAAATATCTCATTGTTCTGTACTCACCCTTTTCCTTCTGGTGATGCCGCGAGCCGATAAAATGCCTTGCGAGGAGATGAGGTGAGGCCCACGGCCAGGTGTTGCGTCCTGACGTTGGGCTTGCGACGTGACCCAGCGTCAGGCTGCTATTGGCCTAAGGAGGAAAGGTCAGAAGGAGGATCACCTGTTTCCGGCGGTGGCTGACACCAGTGGGTAACACCTGCAACCCCAAAAGCCAAGCTGTGGATAAGGAGGAACCGCTGTGCCTTTTCTGCCGTGTCCCGCCTTCGGGCTCAGCTCAACCCCCGCCGAGCCTTCCCGGTCTGAAAAGAGTGTTGATAATAGGGCCGGCCTTAACCTGTTGCAGAGGCTTTGCCTCCGTTGAGATAACAGACTTCCCTGGTGGAGGCTGGGAAGAGGTATTTGGACTTCTGCTATCAGCACGCAGGGTGCTGGTGTGCGATGCACCCCTGTGAGTCCACCTGGAGTTGTGTAGAGAGACAGTTCTCTGCAGGCTCTCCCTCTGATACCATCCCTTTTCTACTCAGGAAAACGCACTGGAATGCAGAGGTATAAGGAGCGTATTATTATAGGATGTGCTCTCATTTTTTTTTCCCCCAAAGGGAAGATGTTGTAAAGTTTGTTATTAGTAATAAATTACCGGTGACGCACTTTGTAACTGATCACCTCATTGGCACAGAGGTTGGGAACACCTTCAAATAGTGGAAATTATATGGGCTGTGGCGTCTTGCGGCCCGGATTCCAGTCCCATCGTGTTGTAGCTGTGTGATCTTGTACAAGGTCTTGAACCTCTCTCTCTTTTTTTTTTTAAGATTATTTATTTATTTGAGAGAGAGAATGAGACAGAGAGCATGAGAGGGGGGAGGGTCAGAGAGAGAGGCAGATTCCCTGCCGAGCAGGGAGCCCGATGCGGGACTCGATCCCGGGACTCCAGGATCATGACCTGAGCCGAAGGCAGTCGCTTAACCAACTGAGCCACGCAGGCGCCCCGGTCTTGAACCTCTCTTAACCTTAGTCTCTCTATCTGCTTAGTGGGGCTGGTAATCCATCCTACCTCGTAGGTTTACTGTGTGGACCCAAACAGCGTAATCGCTTTCTGTTCCGTGGGAATGAAGCGTGACCTTGCCACGCCCCCCTCCCCGCACCTCTCCTTCCCAGGTAACCACTGTGGCTGCAGACCAGAGCTTCACCATCCGGGACCTGGCGTCTGGCGCGGTGAAACTGAACGTGGAGCACTGCTCCTTGGGCCGCCTGACCCGCCGAGGCCTCTACCTCGCTTTCCACAACCCGGGTGCCTGTGTGGCCCTGGTGTCGGTGAGGGTGTTCTACCAGCGCTGTCCCGAGGCTGTGCACGGCCTGGCCCGGTTCCCCGACACCCTGCCTGGCCCCGGCGGGTTGGTGGAGGTGGCAGGGACCTGCTTGGCCCATGCCCAGGCCAGCCCCGGCCCCTCAGGGGCGCCCCGCATGCACTGCAGCCCCGACGGGGAGTGGTTGGTGCCCGTGGGGCGGTGCCACTGTGAACCCGGCTATGAGGAAGACGCGAGCGGTGAAGGCTGCCTGGGTAAGGAGCCTCGAGGAAGGGGCGGGGGGCGGCGAGGACTCACAGGGGCCGCTCGGGGGAGGCTCCCCAAGTGCCAAGGGAGGGAAGGGTGCCTGTGCTCCATCTCAGCCATTTTTAGACTGGGTGGCTGAGCACCCCAGGGTGCAGGGTGTTTCTGGTACAAAGGATTGGGGAGAGGGGTGAATGGGGATGAGTCTACCGTAAAAACTGGACATCCATGGCTCTGCTGCATTCTCTCTCCAGGCTGCCCTAGCGGCTCCTACCGGGCGGACACAGATGCACCCCATTGTCTCAAGTGCCCCGGACACAGCACAGCGGAGTCTGAGGGGGCCACCCTCTGCACCTGTGAGAGCGGCCATTTCCGAGCCCCTGGGGAGGGCCCCCAGGTGTCATGCACACGTGAGTCCAGGGGGCAGGGCTTGGCCATCTTCGAGGAGCTGCAGGCCCTTTAAGGTTGGAAGTTTCCAGAGCTTTTCAGACATTGGGAATCCTTTAAAGGGCTGGACGCTTAAAGCTCCTCCCCTGCCCCTTACTTTCCCTGGAAGAATGAAAAAATGAGGTGATTCCTCACTTTTGGAATCAAATCTCCTAGCAAGGCCTTCAGAGGTGGGAGGAGGCAGGGGCCAGCAGCTTGTATGAAAGCAAAGGTGGCCCCTCCTAACGGCCCCTCTTCTCCTTACAGGGCCCCCCTCAGTTCCCCGAAACCTGAGCTTCTCTATTTTGGGGACTCAGCTCTCCCTGCGTTGGGAACCCCCAGCAGATACGGGGGGGCGCCAGGATGTGAGGTACAGTGTGGGGTGTTCTCAGTGTCGGGGAGCAGCGGTGGATGGAGGACCCTGCCAGCCCTGTGGGGGAGGTGTGCGCTTTTCCCCGGGAGCCAGCGGGCTCACAGCACGAGCTGTGCATGTCAGCGGCCTTGAACCCTACGCCAACTACACCTTTAACGTTGAGGCCCAGAATGGAGTGTCAGGGCTGGGCACCTCCACACCCGCCGGCGCCTCCCTGAGCATCAGCATGGGGCACACAGGTGAGCAATCAGGACAGGACCGGAAGAAACCAGAAGGGCTTAGGACCACAGGGACAAATGGATGGGCAGGAAGCAATCGAAAAGCTACTGAAGTTATTTCCTCTTTTCTTTCCAAACCCACTGGAACCCTCCCGACTCACAGAGTCCCTGTCAGGCCTGTCCCTGAGGCTGGTGAAGAAGGAGCCACGGCAGCTGGAGCTGACCTGGGCAGGGTCCCGGCCCCGCAGCCCCGGGGGGAACTTGAGCTACGAGCTGCATGTGCTGAATCAGGTGAGGCGGGGCTGAGAGACCGTGTCCAGTGTCCACGCCTGGGCACAGCCCAGCATCCCTGGCCCGGGTGACGGGATGGAGGGAAATCTGACCACAGTGAACTGTGCGGCTTTCTCAGGACAAAAGCCTACAGAGAGCCCTGCCCTGACCATTCCCCCACCCCCCCCACTCTACGTGATCCCAAGACTGCCCATCCCTCCACCCGGTCTGGCTCGGCACAGCCAAGTTAACGTTAGTTCTCATCCACAGGACGAAGAACGGCACCAGATGGTTCTGGAACCCAGGGTCTTGCTGACGGAACTGCAGCCGGATACCACGTACATTGTCAGAGTTCGAATGCTGACCCCTCTAGGGCCTGGCCCTTTCTCCCCTGACCATGAGTTTCGGACAAGCCCACCAGGTGGGTGGGTTCTCCTGTGCTCTACCCCAAACACACATGCACCCGTCCTCCCACTAGGCTTCTCAGACCCTGCTCCGATCAGTGACCTTTCCCCTTCCTGTATGCATGTGCAGGAGCTGCCCGGGGTGGGGCGAGCCCCACACGGACTCACATGAAGCCCCCGCCCCACCGTAATCTCAGATACACCTCCCGATGCTGGATGCTGCCAGCCAGTTTCCTATGCAATCTCCTAACCCCTGGTGCTCGGCACAATAAGCAGCCCCCAGCTGGTGGTCCCGGTGTGGGGGCTCCCCGTGCTCTCTCACACACATACCCCATCTCCTCGGGGAGGGGACACACACACCTGCGGTCCACTGAGGGCCCTGCCCCTGGGCATGCCCTTTCAGCCTCCACCATCCCGGTGGGCTCTGAGCCCTCTGAGCCCAGACTTCCTCACCCCATGTGCCACAGTTTCCAGGGGCCTGACGGGAGGAGAGATTGTAGCCATCATCTTCGGGCTGCTGCTGGCTATAGCTCTTCTGCTCGGGATGCTCTCCTTCCGCTCGAGGTACTGTTCCTGCCCCTCCCCGGCCACCATCCGGGCTCCCTTTGCCTGGCCAGGAGCCCCGGGAGGCAGCCCCAGCCACCCGCCCATCCCCTCATACGAAAGCTCCAGCGTACCCCCACCCCCTGTTGTTTGTGGGAAGAACCCAGCCAGAGGCCTTTGGTCCCCTGCGGCAGTGCCGGGACTCTGAAGAAGCTGTCCCCTCACCCCCACAGGAAAACTCAGCGGCGACACCAGCCGAGGCAGCGTGATCGTGTTGCCGACGTGAACCGAGGTGAGCCCAGGGCACCTGTGTGTGTATATGTCGGGCGGCGGGGGGTGTTGGGAGGTGCCACGGGATGGAACCAGAGAACCCACGTTGGCCAGGCCAACTCTGGGAGCACAGGTTGGGGCTGTTGTCTCTAGGGCTTTTCTGTTTTGCTACCTAATTAACTTTGGTTAATTAACTTTGTACTGATAGCCCCCCAGAGGCTCTGTGCAATTACCTGGTAGCTCTTGGTGTCACTGTTCCAACACCCGGGTCCTGGGCAGCCTCCCCATCCTGGCTGGCCAGGTCTGTGGGCCGAGGCTCGGCGGGAAAAGGACTGCTGGCAGGCTCCCTAAAGTCCTCCAAGGCATGTGGGCTTCCTGCTGGTCACCTCATTAGGTGCCCCACCAAAGGGGGAGTCAGTGGTCCATCCAAGCGAAGGGGTGAGAGTGAGCCTTGTCTGGGAATGTGAATGAGGTGTGAGTGATCAGAGGAGTATGGCTAGCAGGGGTGAGGAGGAAGGGCAAAGAATTTGAAGTGCGGTCAGTGAGCCATGGGAAGATTGGGTCACTGGAGGCCGTGAACAGCTTTCAGGCCCAGGTTCTGGCCCACTGCTCTGGGCCTCTGGGGGCAGGGACACAGGGCTTTGCGCATGGACAGAGGAAGAACCTCATTGCTAAGGACAGAGCCTTTCTCCCACTTTAGCCAAAACGGGACTCCTAAGGGAGCAGAAGAATGAGAAGGCTGGGGAGTGCTGCTGGCCCCCCCTCCCCTCACCACCCCCCAAAAAACCCTCCTGAACCCTGCAGTTGGAGTTCCTGTGGCCGAGCCCTCCCCGTTCTCCCCACAGAGGACAAGCTGTGGCTGAAGCCTTATGTGGACCTCCAAGCATATGAGGACCCTGCACAGGGAGCCCTGGACTTCACCCAGGAGCTTGATCCAGGCTGGCTGATTGTGGACACTGTCATAGGGGAAGGTGAGCCGGGCAGGCCCCCTCTTGTGTGGCAGCACAGAGCTGCTAGCTAGTCGGCCTCTGTGCTGGCCCAAGAGCTCCTTGATGCGTTCCCTCTCTGTTCTACCCTGTGTCCTCCTTGAATCGCTATGCTCATGTTGTTACCCCCTTATCGGGTGTCCGAGAGCCGCCTGCTCCCCACACGATCTGCTTCTGTGGTTAATGGAGTTTCTGATGAACAGCCTCCACACGTCATCCCTGTCAACAGAGGGGTCACTGTGCCCAAGCCCAGGCTATTCCCAGACGGTTCCCGAATGTGGGAGAGATTCAGGGCCTCCCTCAGCCCGCACCGTACCCCACCAGGGGCCCGGTGTCCTTGGGCTGCCCTGATCCCTTGGGTCAGCAGAGGAAATGGAGCTGAGCAGGAGAACAAAGCTTTGCAGTGTTCTTGCCAGCTGTGTAGCCAAGCCAGCTGAGCTGGGACCGGAGGATCTCGTGGAAGAGGGGAGGCAATGATCAGCCTCCCTGGTCACTGGTGCACTGGCTCAGACCCCGCCTGCCCTTTAGGAACACAGCCCAGTGCCACCACACAACCGCCTTCACTTGGCACCTGCCGAGCAGCTCCTGCTAGCCAAGAACTGTGCTCGTGTGGGAGACGGTACTGGACAGGTCGCCGAGCAACAGTCCCCTTCCAGACTCCTGTTCCCTTCCTGGGATGTGCAGCCCGAGCCCCTGGACCAACAAGGGCAAGCCACTTTTCTGATCCAGAGAAGACCGGAACCTGGGGTCTGGAGGATATGGCTGCCCATCCCCCTGGGGGAGCCTGACAGGGCATCGGGCCACGGCCTGTTTTCTTTCCACCCAGGAGAGTTTGGGGAAGTATATCGAGGGACCCTGAAAATCCCTAGCCAGGACTGCAAGCCTGTGGCCATTAAGACCTTGAAAGACACCTCTCCAGACGGCCAGTGGTGGAACTTCCTTCGAGAGGCAACTATCATGGGCCAGTTCAACCACCCACACATTTTGCACCTGGAAGGCGTTGTCACAAAGAGTATGAGCAGCTGTCTTCAGGAGCACGGGGAGGGAAAGAGGAGGAAAGGAGGGCGTGAGACCATCGGGAGTGAAGGGAAGATATGCTGCCAAGGGCAGGAAGTCTGGTTCCGGGTGGAGATGGGGTAGAGGCTGCCATGCTGACGTGTGCTTTGTGTCTCAGGAAAGCCCATCATGATCATCACAGAGTTTATGGAGAACGGAGCCCTGGATGCCTTCCTGAGGGTGAGGAGGGCAGAGAGCCAGCTGGGCAGGGGGATGCACCGTGGATCCCTGGGGTTGGCTCCTGGTTTGGGAAGAGGAGACCCTGCCCATTCCCTAACCTGCCCACTCACCGTGCTGCAGGAGCGGGAGGACCAGCTGGTCCCTGGGCAGCTGGTGGCCATGCTGCAGGGCATTGCATCTGGCATGAACTACCTCAGTGACCACAGTTATGTCCACCGGGACCTCGCCGCTAGGAACATCCTAGTGAGTCAGAACCTGTGCTGTAAGGTGTCTGACTTTGGCCTGACCCGCCTCCTGGACAACTTTGATGGCACATACGAAACCCAGGTTAGAGCCGTGTACTCACTGAGCGTGCGTGCACTTGCGCAAACACACACACACTCGCGCAATAATGTGCCGTACCTGTAGTCACACGTGCACCAGGAAGGACACATGCTCCTGTGGACACGATAATTACTCATCCCTTTGCACAGGGGTTTTCTCCTCCCCTCCCCCCACCATGCCCTGAAACATCACCTTTCTGTCCTACGTGCCCTGTTAGGGAGGGAAGATCCCCATCCGTTGGACAGCCCCTGAAGCCATTGCCCATCGCACCTTCACCACGGCCAGCGATGTGTGGAGCTTTGGGATTGTGATGTGGGAGGTGTTGAGCTTTGGAGACAAGCCCTATGGGGAGATGAGCAATCAGGAGGTAAGCCTGGGGTACTCCTCCCCATGTCACCCCTAACTCACTGCTCATCTCCCGAAATCCTCCCATGGCTCTTGCCTACAAATATCCTATTCCTTCTTCCTGACCCGCAGTTTTTCTGCACTTCCTTGGTCCCCTTTGCCTTACTCCCTGTTCTCTTTACTGCGGTCGGGGGCGGGTAGAGGCTCTATCACAGTGATCTTGTGTGAACAGAGATTTCTCAGGGGCCACCAGGGAAGCCGAGCTTCCTACCTCAAGCCTGCCCGCCCCCCCCCCCCCCACTCCCCACCCTGTCCGCACTGCAGGTAATGAAGAGCATTGAGGATGGGTACCGGCTGCCGCCTCCCGTGGACTGCCCTGCCCCTCTCTATGAACTCATGAAGAACTGCTGGGCCTATGACCGTGCCCGTCGGCCCTCCTTCCACCAGCTGAAGGCACATCTGGAGCAATTGCTTACCAACCCCCACTCCCTGCGGACCATTGCCAACTTTGATCCCAGGTAGCCACATTGGAGAGGGCAAGGGGTTTCGGAGGATGGATCTGGGAGAATGGAAATGGGCATTCAGCTACATTCACTGAGTGCTGGGCCTGTGGAGCTCTGGACAGAGCGCAGCATACTACTGAGGCAGGACCATAGTCAGCGCCCTTGGGGACAGTCCACCCTGATGGAGGAGCTGCCCTTCCGTCCCCGATAGCTCTAGTTTGGCAGAAGAGAGGACGCAAGTGCAGAGAGGTGGAAAGTACATATAAGCCGTGCTGACACCCTGATATCGACTCCAGGGAGCTTGGTCACTTGGGTGGGGAAGAGAGAGCAACCAGCAAGTACCAGTGGGATGCATGTTGGTACTGGGAGGGGCGGCCTTGTGGGGTCTCCCAGAACACATGGCCAGCATGGGTTGGGGAGCGAAGGGCAGGCTGATTCCAAATAGCGCAGGATCCCAGCAGCGTTATTTCGGGACTGTGGCCAGAGGTGAAGCTGGAGACAGGGGCAGGGTCAATGCCAAGAGGACCAGCTCTGCGGAGAAGTTCGCACTTTATCCTGAGCGTGGAGAACTATTTGACCAGTTTTTAAACTGGAGGGTCATGATCAGAATTGTGTTTTACCAGAAACGTTGCCAGAATGTGGAGAATGAACTGGTGGCAGGGGTGAGGTGGGGGAGATGGGCAAGGCCGGACTTCGAACGCTTAATCAAGCCAGCCAGCCCTGGCATGCTGGCCTCTGTATCAAACCACCATATATAACCTTGTTTCTGGGCGAAAATGTGCCTCAAGTTCCAACTTCTGAAACTATCTTTTGGAACACAACTCCCTCGTATACTGGAGACTGCGTGTGCTAATCTTTCTGGAATGTTGAACATTTTTCCCCCAGCAGATCTATTCTGCTAATGGTTTGGGCTCCGGCTGGCTTTAGCACAGGAACACTCATTGTCTTGTGGGTGTCGGAGGGCAGGAGTAACAGCCGGGCTTGGAGGCGGCGAGCAGGGGCTGCTCCCGGCATTCGCAGGGGCCGCTCTGACGATGGCAGGACCCTACCCGGCTTCCCCGGCCTCTGCTCTCCTGCCTTCTGCGTCCTCTCAGCTGGGACGGCTGACACTTGCGCGTCAGCCCCCAATCAGGCAGCACCGGCCGCCTCGGTGGGAGGTGGGCTGGCAGCCTGCTTGTGTCCGGGCCTCCCAGGGCTGCCACTTTCCCTGGGCCCATCAGTGCGGCAGGACCGTCAGCCTGCCCACTGCTGTGAACACACCAGGAATCGGGCCAGGAAACGAGCTCACAGACAATGGCCGGGCTAATCCACAAAGTCCAGATAATCTCTGTGCTCAGACACCCAACTTGAATGCTGGCTGCAGATGCTCATAGGCCGAGCCCCGATTTCAGGGAAGCTGGAGCGGGGAGACAGAGGACACCTGTACCTCCCTCGGGACTGAGGCACCCTGTGTCCCACAGGGTGACGCTTCGGCTGCCCAGCTTGAGTGGCTCAGATGGGATCCCCTATCGAAGCGTGCCCGAGTGGCTAGAGTCCATCCGCATGAAACGCTACATCCTGCACTTCCGCTCAGCGGGGCTGGACACCATGGAGTGTGTGCTGGAGCTGACAGCTGAGTGAGGACCCCCCTCCGCCTACCCCCCCACCCCGCTGCGGGCCTGGGAGGGGAGGGCTCCTAGGGGGGAAGCCCATACCCACAGTCCCCTTCCATCGCCCACAGGGATCTGGCGCAGATGGGAATCACGCTGCCAGGGCACCAGAAGCGCATTCTTTGCAGTATTCAGGGATTCAAGGACTGAGCCCCTCCCTCGCCCGCCCTGTCCTCAGAGAGCAAAGATGGGGCCATGGTCACTCCCCACGGCCCTGCCCTCAACCGATGTAGGCCTTCGGTGCTGCTCCTGCCCACCCTTCCTTGAGCAACTCACCTCTGGGCTGGGAGCCTTTGTTTTAAAAAGGGAGGTGGGGGTAGAAGTAAAAAGGTAATTGGGGGAGGGACCTGGGGAAGGGTTTAATATATATACATAAACATATCTATTTTTGTAAATAAACAGGAGTTGAGTTTTCTCCTTTACCCATTGGCTTTGTTATCCCTGTATTTCCTCCGATCCACCCATGAAGGCTGTAGGCACAAAAGAGTTGACTCCTAACGAATTCTGGAAAACAGGTTTTTTTATTTGTAGCTGTAGCCACAACCTGGCAGCATGGGGGTGGGTGGGAATGTCCAGGCCGGTCAGCCCGGCCCAGCCCAGCCTCCCGGAGTCAGGGAGTTTCCTGGCCTCAGCAAGCAGAGGACGCGGCTGCCCGGGCGCCAGCCAAGGGCATCGGTCAGCAGTGAAAGCAGCAGTGCTCAACCTGGTGCCCCCTCGGGTGGGGG